TATTTATTTTTTTCAAAAACTTGTTTTCTAATTGTTTCCAATACATTAAACATGTGTCCGTAAAGTATGGAATAAATTCATTTTTAGCTAAACAGACCATTTTAAGAAATAATCCTGAAACACGTCGATTTTTATTATTTATTATTTGTTTAGTAATTTATTGATGTTCAGTGACAGTTTAGTACTACAATATTTTTGGTATTCGTGAATAATAATAATAATAATAATAATGTTTATTCATAAAAGAATACATAAAAATACAATAATAATAAAAAAATGTGAACAAACAATTTATAATCACAGAAGCTGTAAGTGCGCTGACTTACAGCTTGTACGTAATATACGAATATGTTCATACATTAGACATACATAAGAGTATCGACGACCATAGGTAAGTTATATTTTATCAACAAATAATGTGACAATACTGATTTCGTTTCTATAAATTAAAAATTTATTTTATAATAATATTAATAACAACAACAATAATAATAAATTATATTAATAAGAAAAAAGTTTTTGTTTTAATTATTGCTTAGATTTAATTTGAGTTAGAAATGGAGTTAAGTGTAAAACAAAAAATTGAAATACTTATGATGATTGGGTATGGAGACAAATCGCGAACTCAGATGAAAGTGTGCAATTTGTTTAATGATAAATAATCCAGAAAGACCTATAACGCGTTCAACAGTCAGTAAGATTGAAAAGAAATTTCGAGAAACTAGTACGGTTGAAAATGTACGCAAATCAGGTCGTCCCTCTGCAAATGCTGATACAGCATTAGATGTTTTACTTAGTTTTGAAGAAGACGCGCACACTTCTGTGCGTAAAGTTAGTCGCGATATCGGTGTTAGCAAAACAACGATACACAAACTATTAAAGCTTGAAAAATGGCATCCTTATAAAATCAAACTTGTGCAGGAATTAATCGAAGATGATCCTGATAGAAGAATTTAATTTTTCGAAAAAACGATGGATAAATGTCACCGAGACCCTCTCTTAATACAAAACATTATTTTTTCTGATGAGGCCACTTTTACGTTAAATGGCGAGGTTAACCGTCAAAATTGTAGATAATGGGCAAAAGAAAATCCCCACTGGATGCGTGAGCATCATACACAATACCCGCAGAAGGTAAATGTATGGGCTGGAATTATAAGAAATCGAATCATCGGACCCCACTTTATCGAAGGAAATTTAAACGGGGTAACGTAACTTGAGTTTTTAAGGGAGTATCTCGTACCTACTTTACGCAGTTTGTTTCCCAGCAGACGTAATCCTGGAGATTGTGATGAAATTTTATGGTTTGAACAGGATGGTGCACCTCCACATTATACTGTAAATGTTAGAAGGTACCTAGATGAAATTTTTCCGATTAGGTGGATTGGTAGACATGGACTTATCGAATGGCTAGCGAGGTCACCAGATTTCAATCCTTTGGATTATTTTATTTTTATCAAACGAAACCAGCAAATATTCAAGAATTAAAAGAGAGAATTCGGACAACAATAAACAATATTTCTCAAGACACAATAAACAAGGTTCAACAAGAATTTGTACACCGTTTGGGTTACTGTCAAATACAGCAAGGGCTGCAGTTCGAACATTTATAAAGTCATGTATTTCATCATATTCTGTCCGCTAGACAATAAGTATTTTTGATAATATTGTTAATTTAACTAATAAAGAATGTTATGCGTTACTTTATGAGCACACACAAAACTATTATATTTTTGCCCACCCTGTACCAATTGGAATCAACATGTGATACATTTTTGGAATCAGCTCAGCTATAAGTCTATTTTTATGTATGAGAGAGTATTGCGTACGTTCATAAATAATAATTTTAATATAAAAACTACTTCTTACCTACAAATCCAAATTAGAATCGAAATCAGAAGATGAACTGTCGCAACCAATATTTACAATGAGTGGCTCGATCATTTCATCAGTAATATTTTCCTACTTTCACATTTTCTCTTCTTCTTTAATCGTATGATTTACTGCCTTTTCCCAGTTTTCAAGCTTCATATTATTTACAGCTTCCAAAAACAACTGTTTAACATCACTCATTTTAAAAGAATTATTTTTTCTCGAAACTTTTCCCTTTATCTGTGCCCATGTCAGTTCAATCTGGTTTACTTCGCAATGATATGGTGGTGATCTAACCACCGTCTTCCCACGATTTTTTGTAATTTCATCAATTTCATATTTTTTGAATTTCTCTTTATGAAGGGAACACAAATGATACAGTTCTTTTCTCACAGAACCAGGGTAGAACTTAATATTCTTTGATTTTAGATAATTCTGTAAATCTTTTTTTAACCACTTGGTTGTGGGCATTTTTTGTATAAGTCTCGAGTGATAACTTGCATTATCCATTACTATTATACAGTTTTGAGGAAGAAGATCTATAATTTGTTCGAACCACTCATTAAAGACATCAGCATTCATGTCATGGTAGTCACCGGTACGAGTAGATTCAAAAGTCAATAAACCACCTTTAACAAAACCGTTTGAACTACCGATGTGTACTATTTTTAGTCTGCGCCCCTTTCCTGATGGTGGATTTAAACCAGTGGATAAATTATTTAAAAAAGCCTGTCTTCGACTTGTAACAGTTTCATCTTGCCAAAATTTATTTGGTTTATGTTCCTCGTTGATCCATGTTGCATCTAAATAAAATTTATTTCTTCTTTGGTTTCTCATTTCTTTTATAGTCCTTAGGTAATTTCTTCTCCATACTACAATATCGCTTCTTTCTATTAAAATAGACTTTCTGGAATGCTGTTTTCATAGAAAACCTATTTCTTTTAAAAATTTCCATAGTGTGCTTCGACTCATTTCAGGGTAATCCTTATCATTTCGAACCATGGCAAGAACTTTGTCTACTGTCGGAAATTCTTTTCTAAAGAAGAACGCATGCACTTTCTTTCGAAGTCTTTCTTTCAAAAGATTTTCTAATTGAAATTTTGGTTTTCCTGGAGCTTTACGAGCTCTTTGAAACTCGCTATATTTCTCTTCTTTAACTACTCTGTAAATCGTAGATTTCCCAACACCAAGCGTACTACTAACTAATTCCACTGTGTCATCAACACTTTTACATAAATGTTTGTCTGTAAATGATTTAAAACAATTAAATATTAATGTTTTTTCATTAACTGTTAAAGGACCGATTTTTTGTCGTTTACGCGGCCCTTCCAAATTTTCCATGATCACACTAGAATTCACACTGCACCTTGCAAGTTGCAACTAAACGACATTTAGTAAACTGTCAAGAATACACAACTTGGACCTACTTACTAAATGGAAAACCTATAATCGCATTTTCCGTGAAATTTGTTGGGAAGGTATTTATCTACCTATAATTCGATTACTGCAAGAAATTCTTGGAATTAAAATAAAACAAAATTGGCAAATAGGTACTTATTGAAAATAATCTTAAGATACGGCTATGTAATCTTTATTACACAGGGCTTTTGGCCTGTCCAAACCCTTTTCTACTGTTCTGTACAGCTTATGTTTATAAAGGACCAATAAAAGACCCAAAACTTGTAATAGCTCAGGTACATTTATTACAATTTTAGGAAATATTTAGATTATTCTGTAAAAATATTTAAAATGACCGTAGTAAGTTTTGTATTAGAAATGCTGTTTTATTACTCTCTCATACATAAAAATAGACTATAGAGTAATCCGAAAATTGAGACAAAATGGGGGTCTTCCATTTAAAAAAAAATGACGGTGACGTCATTACTCGAAAGTAATTCACCCTGTATATTAGATTATTATTTTAAAATACGGTAAATTAAAATCAAAAATCGACGTGTTTCAGGATTATTTCTTAAAATGATCTGTTTAGCTAAAAATTAATTATAAATATGGACTTGTAAGTACATTTTATTGTAGTGTACACGCATAACATGTAACTTTTAAAAATATGCTTAGTTTAAAAATAATATAAAAACAGTTAATTTTAGTAATAAAATCATCTAGTAATAATTAAAAGCATATAATTATTTTTTTTGTGCCTTTTCCAAATATGGATACCAATTTAACGACTTGTAGTGTGTTCTTATAAGGATAGACAAATTTTTAAATTTTTTTGAAAAGATGAAACTGCATTTTGTTTCTTATTAATAGGTTAATAGATTATGGTAAGTTGTAGAGAATACATGTGCCAAATTTCAATAACATCTAAGGGTGGTTAGTAAGTTATGAAACAAAAAAGAAATTGGCAAAGTTATTAAAACTACCTGTATCTCGGTTATAAATGACGAAAGAATCATTAAGTAAGGTTATTTGGAAAAATATCAGTAGCATAAAAAAACTAAGTATTAAAAAAAAGAGTGAAGTAAAACTTCGTAGATTAATTCACTTTAAAATAAAAAAAGACAAATAAAATCCGCGTACATCAATATTTATCGCTACTTGAACATACTATTAAGGTTATAACTCTAAACAGCAAGGCACCGACGATGCACGAAAGACGATCGTTTGCAGTCGAAATTGGAGTTCAAGTGGAGGACTAGGCTGTTAAGGTGTCAGGAAATCTAAATTTGTCGTTTTTATAAGTTAGCTCAACATATTTTTTATGTTAGGTCGAACAGTCAAGGCGGGTACAGATCTGAGCACGTACGCGTATGAGGCAAGCCGAGGCCGAACCGAATGCCTCGTGCGGCGCATTTTGTACACACGAATGTTAAGGCGGGTACGCATATGAGCACGAACGCGAATGAGGCAATCCGAGGACGCATGAGCATACGTATGTGTACGTCTGAACGAGGCGTGCAAATTTGTTTGAAACCGTATCCATTCGGCCTCGACCCGATCCAACTGTTGTCGGTACATCAAAGTGAGGCATCGCCTCGTGCGCTGCTCATCTGTGTTCAGTGTGGACGGAAATAAAATTAATTTCGAGGCAGTCGGCAGTCCACGTGTTGTTGTTTTGGCGTGCAGTATATTTTTAATAATAATATTAGTTTCTAAATAATGCAACAATGGAATGGTCTCAGCAAAAAGTGCTAGTGCTTCTTGAAGTATATCAAAAAAGGGAGATATTGTGGAAACCAAGACACCCGTCGTACTATAATTCAATTAAAAAGGAAGACGCTTGGCGAGAAATAGCCGAGATTTTAAATGTAGAGGTTGAAGAATTGAAAAAGAAAATCGAAAGTCTTAAGGGCTCATTCAGACGAGAGAGAAGTAGAGTAAAAAAAGGAACTGGTACAGGAAAAGGTTTGTTTATGACTTTTTTGAAATTTCGCACCTACGGTGAAAGAAAGTCATACCTAACTGATTCGACTTTCCAATTTTCAAAACGAAACTCACTCATGCCAAATGAAATCAACATTTGAAAATATTAAAAAGGTTTTTTAAACATTTTTACATACCTATTATTAGGAAAATTGCAAAGTCACATTATTTATTGGCATGACTGAATTTGGAAAACTTTAAAGCCGTTTCCTCAACATTTTTAGAATCTGCAATTATGGCTTTGCTTCCCGGAGGTGCTATTTTTAATTAAATAGGAATACTTTTTAAATATTGTCAAATAAAAACCCTTTTTTTTACAGGACGTGATCAAATTTATGTTTCCAAATGGTTTGCGTATGAAAGTATGCAATTTTTAGACGACCGGGATGACCCGCAGAAAACTCTAACTGTGAGTATATTTTTTAAATTTTTATTTTCTTATTAAGTGTAATACAACCAGTAAAATAAACATGTTTTTATGCATAATTATTTTGCCAAGATACAGCTCCGTTTGTCATAAAATATTGTGCAAACTCATCCCTTGCCTCTTGACAACTAAGTTTAGTTCTGCGCGGGATATTTCTTAGGGGAAGAAAAGAGGATGTGCTTTGTTCTTCGTTTCTCCATACTCCAGGTATTATTGCACCATCTAATAATTCCGTGTCAAAAGAACCACGTGGAGTGTAAATATTTCTAGACGTTTTGCTTCTTCCATACTTTACGGACACACTGTATATTCTCTATATCCATCACAAGATGTATCAGAAGTTGAAGTAATACAACTTCAAAGTTGATTGCAAGTTGAAAAATATATATCTTTTTGTAATTTAAGAACCACGGCGTGTCCACCAAAAAATCAAAAAAAGATTTCAACTAATAAGTTTTAAAACAATAATATTTTAGACTGTTACTTCATAATTATATTGATAGTGCCATTGTGATTGGCCTAGTTAAATATTAAAAATTATATATAGCAATTCTAAGCCATAAATCTATTATTGAAGTATTGACTTTTGATGTAAATAACTTTTTGGTGGGCAATTGAAGATCCGGATAAACGAATTTCAACTGTATTTTATAATATAGAAAAGATAGATTATAAATTTTTATGTAGGTAATATTAATTTTTATCGACTTACCGTCTCCCTAGTATTTTTCATTTGTGTGCTGCCTTTCCACCAAGTTATTGTTGGCTCTGGCCGCGAACCCACTACTTCACAACTCAACTCGTAAGTTTGTTCAGCTGATAATGGTTTGTTATCGCCCACAAGCCTTACCCATAATGGCCTCACTGTAAATTAAAAAAAAAAACAGTTAATATAGGAAACAGCTTATTATAAAAGTTTTGCAAACAGCAAAATGTAAATAGAGTAACTAGAAGTACCTTGATGATTTATTTAAATAAAAAAATTCAAGATATAAAGCCACTGAGCTACTATACATTTACATTAATTGGTCACAAAAACAAATATGCAGATTGTCCCATTAAGATTGGGACATAAACCAACTGAAGATTTTTTTTATTACCCAGTATTATAAATTTTTTAAATATTTTTGGTATCATAAGGTACACCTAACAACAAAAAATCAGTAAATAAAATTTTGCCAGAGGTGTACGATATAGGTAAGTAACAACTTTATCTATTTTAAATGTTACGCCATCTGTTGTGGAACTGTCCAAAACATTAAACACTAATGTTTAATGTTTAATGTAGATTATACAACACGTATAATCTACCCAATGAGGCTGAATACTATAGAGATGACATGCCAAAAAAAAACGACACCCCGTCCCCCTCTCTTAGTGGTCATGTCATAGTTGTCAAAGAGCTGTGAGAACTTTGTTCAAATTTAAATATTTCGACGTTATTTTTATCTTAATAAGCGTTTTTTTTTTTTATTAATTTGTATAAAAATCATGACTAAGTGTGCCAAAATTAATTGTAAAAACTCTTCAGTGAAAGAACGTAAGAAAATATCTAATTTAAGTTTTCATAAGTAAGTATAAGGAGTGTACTTAGAATTTTTTTTAGAATGCTTAACTTTTTTTTATTATAGGTTTCCAAGACCCACAATATCTCAAAATTTGGTCTAAATTTGTGGGAAAAGACCAATTTAAGCCTAAACCGAATAGCATGTTGTGCTCTATTCACTTCAAGGATTTTTTGATAAGAGTGAATTTAGGGTCAGATTGAAGAAGAATGCTGTTCCGACAATAAATGAATGTTTAGTTAGTATACACTTTATTTACAATAAAACTTAAATAACTAACTTAATAAAGAACATTGGCTTGACTAACTTTATAATAAAGACAAATAACTATATTAAAACTTATAATTAAACTTAAAAACCAACTTAAAATTACACTTAAATGACTAACTTTTTAAGTAACACAAAATTTAGAATAAAATTTCAAAAATTTAAAAGCAGTTTTTATTAGATCCTAATTTCCTATTATTATACCGTTTTGATAATGAATATACTGTATAATAATAAATACTGTTGATGTATTTTTAATATTTAATTTGATTTGTGGCCATCACTCACTGCTATGTACCTTCTCATCCTCATGATATAAAATAATATGCCCGCTCATGTACCACATTACAATTATTATTAATATTAAATGAACAAACATTAAATTGATGTTCCTTGATTTAAAAACCTGCCAACTTTATTCATAATACACAATAAATATAATTTAAAACATATGACGAAGTTAATGGTATTTAAAAATTAGTAGTTTTGGAACTTAAACTAGTAGTTTTTGTATCATGGATCTATATTTAAGGCTTTATAACATACCAAATCTTGTTCCAGACTAACCCATCCATACCTAAACCTCCTCTTCCAAAAATCAGGATCCTATCAAATATTCTTATTAAACTAGCAAATCAAACCAGTCAGATCGAATTACCTGTACCCTCTACTTCTTCTCTAAATATTCTATATGAAGAACCGCTGACGCCAAAGAAACAAAAAATATTACATACACTCTCCTCTGTCCGGGCAACAAGTGCAAAAAGAAAGCAAAAATTAAAATTGCTAAGACGACAACTTTCTCGAAAAGTAAATAAAATTGCCAACTTAAAAAATATATTAAATGATTTAAGTAAAAAACGTTTGATACAGGAAGTTGAGTTAGATATAATGTCAAAACTTGGGGGCCCCATTGAGATATGTAGGAGGCAATTAAAAAAAAGTCTAACCTACCATTGTCTAAGAAGTATTCAGAAGAGATAAAAGTGTTTTCCTTAACTCTCCACTATTACTCACCTGCTGATTATAATTATGTAAGAAGAACATTTGACACTTGCTTACCACATGTCCGTACAATCAGTCGATGGTATCAAAGTATAAAAGGTGAGCCTGGATTCACAAGTGAGGCTTTCAATGCCCTACAGATTAAATCAAATTCTTCCAATGAAAAAATAATTTGTGCACTTATTATGGATGAAATGGCCATTCGTCAACATGAGGAGTTTATTGGAAGCGAACGTAGAAGTTATGGTTGTGTATATGTAGGAACGGGTGCAAATGAAACTACGCTTGCAAACAATGCTCTTGTTTTCTTATTAAATTGTGTAAATGGAAGCTGGAAAATTTCAGTAGGATATTTTTTAATTTCAAGTATGACAGGTGAACAGAAAAAGGGGCTGGTATTAGAATGCTTAAAGAAATGTTATGAAGTAGGTGTTAGTGTTGTAAGTTTAACATTTGATGGTGCTTCTAATAATCTAACAATGGCCAAACTCTTGGGCTGTAATTTACATCATACAAAATAAAAAACTAGTTTCAAGCATCCATCAAATAATGAAGAAATTGTTATATTTTTAGATCCGCCATATGCTAAGGTCAATTAGAAATACTTTAGTAGAAAAGTATTCATTTGTAAATGAAGAAAATAAAATTGTTGAGTGGAAGTATTTCAAACAACTTCACGAATTACAGCAAAATGAATCTTTCCACTTAGCAAATAAGCTAAACTCGCAACATATAGCTTTAAAAAAACAAAAAATGAAAGTTCGTCTTGCAACCCAACTATTTAGCGAAAGCGTCGCAACTGCCTTAGATTTTTGTGCGAACGTTCTACATATTGAAGATTTTAAAAATGCTGGGGCAACAATTAATTTTATTAGAAAAATGAACATTCTGTTTGACATCCTGAATTTACGAAATCTTTTGCAATTCAATTATAAGAAACCTCTATCTGAAAATAATTACAATAATACATGTATTTTTCTTGACTCTGTGGATAAATATATTAGTTTTTGAAGAACACATGCTGTTCTAGGTTTAAAAATATGCATTGCAAGTCTAAAATTACTATACAATAATTTAATTGTAGAAAATAAGTTTTTAAAATTTTTGCCTTTGTACAAATTTTCACAAGACAATTTAGAATTATTTTTTTATTCAATACGGTCTCATGGAGGTTTTAACAATAATCCTACAGTCAGGCAATTTCAGTCTGCATATAAAAAAATTTTAGTTCATGTTGAATTAAGAGATAGTTTCCGTGGAAATTGTATTCCTTTGGAGGAATTAACTATTTTAAAGTGCAATATAACAAGCCAGTTAAATGTTACTTCAAAGGAATATGCAATGTCTGATAATATTGACGATTTTGAGAAAGTGAATATTATTGAAAATGATCATGATTATTTACCAGATCCAGTCTCCTCCTTTTCTAAATATATAATCACTTACATTTCTGGATATGTTGTTTATTATTTAAAAAAGAAAATCATTTGTAAACAATGTCTAGATGCTTTAATAAGTAAAACTAGAGATTTGTTTCTATTTTCATTCATTGATATAAAGAATAAAAATGGTTTGCAATATCCATCGGAAGATGTAATAAACATTTGTTTAAAATGTGAAAAATATTAAAAATTATGAAAGACTCTAAGAAACAAATATCAGTTGATATCATCAGCCCATTAGTTTTAAAAGAATTCATAAATTCTAATGTCTTTTCG